TCTCTCTCTCACCTCCTCCCCCACGCAGTTACTCTCCCTCTCTCTCACCTCCTCCCCGCCCCGCGCCCCGCGTGAATCTCTTACCTCCTCCGTTCTTGTAGCACAGGTAGGGGAACCTCCAGACATTGCCCAGCCCGACGGCGAAACCCACGCAGGACAGGATGAAGTCGAAGCGACCTTGCCAGCTCTCGCGCTCCGGCAGGGGGCGCTTCTCCTTGCCGCCGCCGGTCGCCGCCGCGTGCGCCTGCTCCCCGTTCGACATCGTCTGTATGCCCATGGCGGCGGTCAGTGGAGGCGGTCAAGTGGTCAGGTGTGGGGAGGGGATGGGGCGGAGGGAGAGAGGTGGTCACGTCAGGTGGTCAGGTGTGGGGATTGGCGGAGGTAGAGAGGTGGTCAAGTCAGGTGGTCAGGTGTGCCGTGTGGGGAGGGGCGGAAGGAGAGAGGTGGTCTGGGTGGGTAGTGGTAGGGGGGAACAGCAGCAAGAAGAGGGAGAGGGGAGGGGAGATGTAGTAGGGAGGACAACAACAAGGAGGAGAAGGAAAGAGAAGGTTAAGTGGGGCAGGAAGGATAACAGCGGGGAGAGAGAGAGAGAGAGAGAGAGAGAGAGAGAGAGAGGCTCTCAGGTGAAGAGAGGGTGTCAGGTAGAGGTGTCAGTCAGCCGGTAGGGCGAGGGTGGTTAGAGCCGGGGATCGTCAGGTAGGGCAGCGGGGTATCAGCAGGTGTCGGCAGGTATCAGCTGCAGAGAAGGGGAGAAACGGACAGCACTGGCTAACAGCAGTGATCAAGGTGGGATGTAGCAGCAAGTATTGGCAGCAGCGGAGGTCCGGGGGATGTTAGAGAGGAGGGCAGGGGGAGAGGTGAGGAGAGGTCCCGAGGCAGGGGGAGAGATTAGTTGGACGTGCGAGGATATGTCAGAGGTTGCTGGATTTCTTCTTCCAACTGTATCCAACGCCTTGGCGAACCTGGAACAGATCAGTATAGATCACGATGAGTACGTATCATATCATGCTATGTCATGTCATATCATATTATATCATATCATGTCACGTCACGTCACGTCACGTCACGTCACGTCCGTCACGTCACGTCACGTCACGTCACGTCACGTCACGTCACGTCACGTCACGTCACGTCACGTCACGTCACGTCACGTCACGTCACGTCACGTCACGTCACGTCACGTCACGTCACATCATATCATGTCATCTCATGTCATTTCATGCTGTGTTGTATCCTATCGCATCGCATCACATCACATCACATTCCGCATCATATGAGCACGTACGAGTATGGAGACGATACCTTTAATCACACACAGCACACGTAAAGGAAGCCTCGCCGTCCCCTTACCCCCTCCACGAACCATTCCAATCCGCGGAGCTACATGAAATATCTCAGACTAGCACACGCATAGACGGCACACGAACGGCAGCACGGAATACAACAGTGGCGTAAACAACGCAAAACTACGATGAAAACGAGTCACGGGTCACGGTGCGTGTCACACACGGGTCACGGTGTGTGTCACACACGGGTCACGGTGCGTGTCACACACGGGTCACGGTGTGTGTCACACACGGGTCACGGTGTGTGTCACACACGGGTCACGGTGTGTGTCACACACGGGTCA